GATGATAATAAATTGTAATAACTAAGAACTCGTCTGAACTATTTTTTATGCAAACTAAGTCTATGAATAGAAAAATTTTCTCAAACAATTTACTTAGTTCAGAAATCAAACTTGTAAAAACGTGTTAAACTTCTTGAACGAAAACGAAATCCGAAACATGTACGTTTTTCGTGATTTTAGTTTCGTTAAAATTTTAACGCGTTTTTCCTTCGTTTTTTGCCTAACTGAGTCTTATCCATATTTAATCCAGATAATGACTTCTTACCGAACTTCTGAACTAATAGCTTATGAAAAAGCCATATATTTGGACTTCGACTTCGAACTTTGTATACGTGAAAGTCTCAATGAGACTATCTCATATACGAAACTTCATTTATTTTGAGTATTGAGAAATTCATGTGCTGACATTGCAGTACTGGAAATGAATGAAATTTTGTGTATGAAATAGTCTCATTAAGGCCTTCGAGTATACAAAGTTGCAAGACAAAGTTCAAAAATATGTTTCTTTTCAAAAGCTATTAGTTTAGGAGTTTGGTAAGAAGTCATTATCTGAATCAAATATGGACAAGACCCAGTCCTTTTAGGGTTATGAGATTCTAGTGATACTCTGCATACAGGTACCTTGTGATGGCAGTCAGAGCGAATCATCTACGAGTGTCCATTCATTGAAATCCAGTGCTTAAAAGCATTTAAAGATGCAACTGCAAACACTTTTCAGCTACTTAAAATGTGCGCTTTTAAGCGCTTGCAACGCTTACTGATTCCAGCGCTTAAAAGTACTTAGATATCCAACTGTAAGCGCTTAAAATGTGCGCTTTTAAGCGAGAAATTTAAGCTGCATTAAGTAAGCTTTTCTGCTTAAATTTTTACATGGGTTTCCATTGGATGTTTTAATTCGCAAACCAGAAAACAATACATTGAAATATGAAAATAACGTTGCATACCTATCCTTATTAAGAAAGGATAAGTAAACAAAGCCTTTCTCAAAAAAAACGTGCTCATAGTAATGATTGTGTCGCATTAAGTAAGGAAATTATAATGTTTGCGACGCGCATAGATATTTTAACTGGCTTGACACGGATCATTGATTTGTTTTATTTTAGACACTGTACGATCGATTTTTTTATACAGACAAACGACGCATCATGCTATCTGATACAGCAACATCGTTCCAAAGTTTTATTGATGTAACATCCGATATTTTTATAGCCATCGCCTACTTCTCTATACCACTTGAACTTCTCTATTTTCTCAAACAATATCCGACAACAGTACCAAATAAATACAAATCTATTGTTATTGTGTTTGCATTATTCATTGTCTTATGCGGGCACGTTGTTTTATAGAAGTTTTATTTAGTATTCAGAAAAAAAATTCTTACTCTTCATCTTTCTCTTCATTATTTAGACTGACACATACATTTAATGCTTTACATCTGAGTATCAATACAATAATTTTCACGAAACTTAGTACAGCAATTATTTCAGTTATAACTGCTATGGCTTTGTTCATACTTATTCCAAGCGTACTCAGTTTTCTAAGCTATGCAAAGGCATTAGAAGAGGAAGTTTTAAGTGAACCAGAGCCTTCTTCAAGTCCTGAAATCAAAGCTTATCTTAATAAGTAAGTATGAATGAGAGAAAAAAGAAAACTACGAATAATAATCATCAATATTATCATTGATAAAAATTTTTATTTAGACGTCGATCCAATATTAATCCTCGATGGCATGTAGCTATTGACTATGCTATGATAAATCGCAGGATATCTTCTCAACAAAATTTAGTGGAAAATTAATTGATTACATACGAACAAATTAAAAGTCGTATTTTTGAACTACTACTTTTAACAACTGTACTATGGATAAAACAAAAATATGATGAATTGTATTTTTTTTTAAAATTATCATAGTGATTTTGCTAATAATTCAGCTCATTTTAATTTTTTTTTTGTTGTTCTGACATACTTCTAATTTTTATATGATAGTATTAGCATTAAAATTTGCATTGGTTTATACTTATCAGTCCTCCGAAAAGAGTACCATCATTAGATCTAAAGGGTAGGAGGAATATCAAAACGTTGAAACAAATGCGTATCGTCATATATGTACCATAAATGAATGAGAAAAATAACGAATGACACTACTATTAAAGAAATATCTCAATAAATTCTTTAATGCACAAATTAGTAATTCTTTATCAAAATTTTATATTCACTAAATATTAAGTTTCAATAATTATACAAAATATTGTCAAAAAATAGACAGACAATATTTGTGTATTTCACCTACTGAGAAATTATCAACCACTTATAAACTTAAAAGGAATTTCAAGGTTATCATTAAAAGTACGATCTGATTATTATAGTCTTAGTTGAAAGATTTTATCCGACATTTTAACTACCTTCGAATCAATCTTATGTATATATTAAATTATATTGATTAATGACAAATAAGAATATTAATTTGTTTTGTTGGATATACTACTCGATATAATTGCTTTTACAAAAACAATCGGTTGAAATCTTTAAAGACAAAACTAGGAATATAATTTTAGGATTTAATTAAGTATTTTCATTCATCCTCATGACTTGCCCTTTCCTTTTCCATTTGATTGAAATTTTCATTTTCATATCCAATTTAATTCTTTTTTGCATCAGCGAAGTTAATTAGGCATTTTTACGCAAGAATTTTTATCAAAACACACTCATATTTTTTATTATTGACATTTAATGTTATTTTCGACTTAGTTAATTACCTAGAAAGTAAGATTTAAGAGAAATAGATTAGTTTCTATGATAGACATATACGTTGATCTGTTTTTCAGTAGACCGTGAATCCAATTTTGGTTGTTTATACATACCTGATGAGTCTCATCAGCAGTTAAGAAACATCATGGGGGTGTTGTGAATTTAGTCTCTTGTTATCTGGATAAAAATAAATTCAAAACATGTCTGATGAGTCCTTTCAGCAAGGACGAAATGTAGTGTGATACTGTGAATTTAATCTCTGATCTTCTATTTTTTTTCTGATGATCAGATTTCTATATACTAGTATAACATCAGTCTCTTGTCTTCTTTCTCGTTTTTTTGAACGCTATGTATTTTGACACTAGTAGTGATCAATGGTACCTTTAGCACAGCTATTGAATCTGAAAAGAAATTCTAAAAGAATTAAATTTGAACAAATTTCAAATCTATTTTATATGAACAATGAAAAGACTTTCAATTCATATTATCAACTACTCGAAAAATATCGACTAAAAGTTTGATTCAAAAGAATGGTATTGTTGAAAAGAGTGCAAAGAATTGAGTGTTATTCTAAAATACAAGGGCGGTTCAGCTAGTATGATATATATATATATATTCAAGTTATATAATATTTTTGAAAATGAGTAAACTAAATAATAAAGACTTTTAATTTCAGCAGAATACAAATGAGCTTTCAGATTCAGAAATTTAGTCCATAGCTATAGTGTTCCGTCTGTTGTCAATCACTTTAAACTTCTATTATCTTATAAGTTTGATCATATTCGGTGGTATTCAATTAGAATGAATAGAAACAGATTTTCTTTCTATCAATTGAAATAGATCAAAATTTTGTAAAAGGTTTTTGTTGTTATACATTCCAAATTCTCACGGAGCATATTTAAGAATTGATCGTGAAAAGTCTAACAAAGATTGTTGAATCATCATGAACATCAACTTTTTCTCAATTATATTCACTTCATCAAATTGATTCACCAAAATGTGACGGACTTGTCAAATATTATGTGTGCAATGGCAGAAAATATCAAATAAAAAAAATCTTCATGTTGCAGATAATGACTTGTTAGTTTTGATTTTAGGAACTAGACCAAATACCGAAGATAAGATTTAATTTTTCATAGCTATCATATAATGAATAACGGTTAGACTAATAATAATAAATTATGAAAACGAAATAAAAAATAAAGACATTCAAGGAATTTCGGATCTAGATTTCTAGTATCACAAGTCTAATAATTTGATGAAAACGGCATCGACGAGCGACTTACCGTTATGTTATCACAATGGTAGTTAGGGTGTGGGTAGCAGAGACCCATACCAATACCTTCACACCCCACACCCACACCGGTGTTTGTCTTTAGTGTTTATGTTGAATAGTATTTTCACACAGCGTTTAGTACTTTGTTAGATCTTGGGTGTGGGCAGAGATGGAACTGGTCTACTTTTTTCAGATCGGACCGGATCGGTCGGTAGACAAGTCCAAACCGGTGAGACCAATTTACCGACTGAAACCGATTTGTCAGGAAAAGTTCATCTGACCGGTCTATCGGTCAAAACCAGCCTACCGGTACAAAACAGGATGCTGATAATATGTCAGTTTAGCAGAGAAAACTTGACCTACCGACAAAATATCGATCTACAGATAATAGGCTAAGGCTTGAAATGAAATCTTTTTTGATAGTGAGCTATCTTGTGGGCTAACTTCGTAATTTCACGCATACTGGCGTAATGTTTCACCGCTGATAACACAATAGTTTTACTGATGGGCATTTTGAAAACCGTCTTTTAAATAAACTTCTGCGTATCAGTGACTCTAGTCTCGGTGCCAGTTGTTTTTTCATGTAAATATCATTATAGAGTAGGAAAATGAAAAATATAGATCGGTATAAGGTAGTTTCAACCGATCAGACCAGTTTAGACTGGTTTAGACCGATCAGACCGGATGTGAGTGTTCGTGTGTTTCTATTCCTTTCTATCCACACCAACCCACCTTCACCCTTCAAGATTAAAGCCAATCTTTAAACATCAACAATATTATTACATGTCAGCATTGAATAAATCATACATAAAACAGTGATTGTTCTTTTCTAGTTTTTATTGTTCTTATTTTTATAATTTTCTTGAGAATATATTTATTTGTTGTGCTCATAAAATCTAGTTATTGAACCACATTAAATTTTCGTTTTTGTAATATTGAAGGACTTATTATTTATTTTAACTTTTTTCAATATTAGAAGTCTTTCTAATTGAGTGCGATGGAATGCATGAAGATAAAAGACTTGATTTCTATTTCTTGTTTATTACAGTCAACATTAATGTGTATTCGGATTTTGGTTTACAGAAGATTTACATACTGAACATCTTTCGTAGAGTGTGGGTGTAGGTATGGGGTGAGTGTGCGTGTGTCTGAAACAAAACAATGGCAACACATATCCACATCCACACCCGCACGAAATTGCAATCATACTTGTTTATTATCTTTATTTGATGTTGAAAGTGACTTTTAAACTGTTCCAATCGAGTCGAAAGTTCTTGACATAGAGACGCTCATTCATTGTCATTTGCAAACATTTCTATGAACTTTTCAAAATTAAAAGTATCACGCGTATTTATTTCTTCTGTTATATTGTTATAAAAGAGTATTTTTTTAAGTAAGAAGTAGCTGTCTTTCTTTTTACAATTTTGCTCCTTCATATCGTAAGGTAACTAGATAAAACGAAGATCGCCAATAGAAAAAGAAAAACGAAAAAACATTCTTTCCTTTACTTCCGTCGTGTATAGTTACAGCAAACAGAAAATCGATATCACTCACGTCGAATGGGATCGACATGTAACGTATACACACGTTGGGGTGTGGGTGTGGGTGTGAGTATGAATAAAATACCCACACCCACACCCTCACCCACACCCACACCCACACCCACACACAAACCCACACCCACCAGAGATGTGCGGGGCATTGATTTTCCATGCCCCGCGGGGCCCGCCCCGTAAAATTCACAAACCCGTCCCGTCCGAACCCCGTGGATATTCTTTTTGAGAATCCCCGTCCCGCCTGTGCCCCGGCAAATCTATACCCGCTCCGCCCGTACCCCGCACAAGCAGCTTCTTGTGCCGGCCCGCCCGACCCGCCATTTTTGTGACGGGCCCCGACCCGTCCCCGTGTAACCCGAAGAAATTTTTTATTTACCAAATACTTTATTTTTAATGATGCATTCCTTTTATGAATAATCATTTTTTACAAAAGCAAAACTCAAGTCTATATGAGATGGTTTCGAATGATTCACTTTGTGATTGTCGACAAGCACGTATTTTTCTGGTTGTTCTTTTAAAAACATTTTTATATTTGACGAATTACATTTAATATTACTCGATGAGCAATGACTGAAAGATGAAGAAATAATTGTAGATGAACGATCAGTATTCGACGAAGCTGTCCTATCAAGTGATTCATCAGGAGATAAATCATGTAATTCGATCATACTTAGGTCTGACCAAAAGTTCTGGCAACATTATATAAAAATATAAAGATAAGTAGGCATCTTTAATTTTATTTTATCAAATATTGAGGACAGATGCCATGATTATTTATACCAAGTTCGAACCTTTCCAACAATTTGTTAAAAGTTTTTTTCGAAAAAATTTTTAGATATCGCACGAGCTTATCATGTTTCATTTATTTAATCAGTTAAACTACATTTAATAGAATTAGTTAGCGAAAAGTTACATAGTATCAGGTCTGGCGAATATGATAGATATGATATTATATTGATGCCTTCTTCTGTCATGCAATTAATAACATTAGATGAGTATGAAGTCAACGATGACCGTCAAGCAATTTTGTACATTTTGAACCTGATGTCTCTGTTTGTTTCCATATTTCATTAATAAAATGTTTTGGAGAGTTTTCAGTATAATACTTGTAACTTACAGTCTTGCCTTTATCTACATTCAGGAGTATTTGATTTAAAGAATATACCAAACAAAGCATTTTCTAAAATCTTTATTCATGAACAATAGTCTTCGACGAT